AATCCAGACAGGAGTATGACCAAAAATGGTATAGCATTACACTATCCCATATGGATCTCAACCCATTGACTGCACTTTTAAAAAATAATCTCAATTATACCTTACTCCAAGTAAATTATTACTAAAATAAAACTGCTCAATAACCCTGATCTCTGATGTGTCAGGTAACAGTCATAAAGCCTTCCTACTACCACAAAAAAGAAACCACATGCAAGGCAAACCAAACAGAAACATCCTGTCTGGAACCATGAGCAAATTTTAAAAGTACTGCTCCTAAATATGCTATAGATAAAAAGTTGATAAATGCATTTTAACTCAGACTTTTTAAAATACAGCATATTTTCATGACTTGGAAAGATAACTGATTAAAATTCTGCTCCTAGCTTCCTCTATGTCAAGGCAGCTTCTTTGCAAGAACTCCAGCCACAGAGCTGGAAATGGTTTTCTTGCACCTATGCAACTGAAATTTTAATATTCCTGTTCTTTAGAGTCTAAACCTAAATTTTTGCAAAAGTTACAGGCACTTACATAGCTAATGACTGGTAATTAAGTTACTCTTTCACCAGTCTCATCTTCCTCATTCATAGCCTGTGAGTGCACTCTCCCACAGGCTATGAATTATTCAAGGCTGAGCTGCTTTCAGCCTCTTGTTGCACCTTCTACATTTTTTTCAAAATGAAATAGTCAAGGATTTGAAGTTTACAACCCTGGCATTATTCTTTGACCCACAGGCTCTCAGTTATTAAGATGAAGAGACATCCACACAGTAGGATAGCGAGTATCTTGGTAGGGTTTCCTTTTTGCTTGATTTGGAACAGAAACTTATCCTTTTATTTTTCTGAATTCTAAACGCATACTAGCCATCATGCTGTTCAGCATGCTGCAGATTGATCTCTTTTGCTCCCTATGGTTTTATGTAGAATTTAAATCATGAAGCTGCTAATTGCATACATGGAAACAGAAACTGCAATCCAGCAAATGCTACGCTGTTCCCATGCTATGATCCTGGACCCTGTTTTAGTTAGTAAGAAGTTACTACATTTAACACTAAACTTCCTCCACATTCAATAGGTAGCATCATGAAGCCAAATACAAAATTTTCCAAACCACACTTCCTCACAGTTAAGCTCCTTACAAAAAACTATGTTTAACAATGGCTGCATTTTACTGAGACTTCAACAACAGATAATATGCTCACAAGACCATGGGAGCTGGAGAAGCCTCTATAAGGCTGTAATTCCCTACATACACTAAATTTAGAATATTTAAAACAATCTGAAAGAGTATCTAAGCTAGTAGTGGGAGCTTACTTCTGTAAGGCTAGAAAAAGCAGTTTGCCTGGATACTTTGCATGAAGAAGTGAGAGGAATGGAGAACTGGAAGGGAATGGAGGGTCAGGCTGGCGAGGGACAAGACCGTCCTTCTCAGACAGTGGTGGACCTGCAGGATTTCCTCAATTTTCTGCAGTGCTCTGACTGAGGAGCAGCCTCCTGACAGAATAGAGATGGAGTGGAGCTTTATTACAACTGCAGTGAAAACTAAGTCTCTGGCTCCTGCCACTATTGCACATAAATCCTCTTGTATTGCATATAAATCCTTTCCTACAGCAGTGGCCCAGGGTGACAACTTTCATTTCAGAACAAAAACTGATCAACCAGTACAGAACATCTATAAGGAAACATACCTGCTGTCCACTCATCAAGTCAGAAGAGACAAGCTTATCTGCCTGGAGTAGCAAGCAAAAGCATTTAACAATTTTGTTCTGTGTTAGAATGTAAATACTATAGAAAACATCAGTTATGAAATTCCAACAATTCTCCAACTGAAGGTGTTAGGAACAATGGTAAAGGAAAAATATTTAGGAATTAATCAATAATCACCAATTTACGCTCATTTTTGTTTTACTGTTTCTTGCATAAAGTTTTTGAATTTACTCTTCTCATTTTTACTATCCAGTTATCTCCACAGGATGGATGCAAAAAGACTTCCCTCAGTACATTTAATGAAAACAATTTCTTTCAAGCAAGGCACAAAATTTAGATTTATTTATGTAATCTGATTAATCCCAATTTTTGTTTTACATTAAGTACAAAAACCAACTTGAACGTAGGTGTAAATACAATTTCCACAAAGTAGTTCAATGAGATTTAAAATCAATTACGTATCCAGAACTGTGAAGCACAATTAAAAGCAACCCAGGATATACAGATTGCTTACCATAACTGCTGAAAGAGCTCATAATGTATGAATATATTTAACAACCTCCAGTAATAAGTTATCTCCTTTCTAATCTTTCATTTGAAACGCATTTAGCAATTCTGTACCTAACAAAGGAAGCATTAAAGAATGAGAAGTGCAGGTAAGTTTTACTCAAGCTATCTGAGGCCTAAATGAAGCACATACACAATCAAACATTAAATAACAGAACAAGGACTTAAATATTTTGGTTGAACATTTCTAAAAACATAAATGCTAAAATAATATAGAAAAATAGCAACAGGTTCAGAGACTTATTTACTTCTCAAAGAACTTATGGTGTACTGCAGCTGCCTGAAATCTTTTAACAATTATAGAAAATCGTATTTCCAAGTTTGGTACGTTCATATTTTCTAGATGACATACATTTAAGACAACCATCCATGAACTTATTTACAAATAGAAGCTTATTATTTTAAAATTTGCATTAAAAATCAGTTTTGGCACTACCCATAAGGCAAAGGATGATATGTACCTAAGACAGCAAATCACATAATAAAGAAAGCATAACCAGAAGAAAACAATATTCTTTAACTTATTATTTAAAGAAACTATGAGACTTTAATTATAATTAAAGAGGAAATTAAAGAATCAGCATTTGCAAGTCACTAAAACACCCTATCCAAAATACTGAAGATTCTTTTTATATACAACAGCAAATTGCTTTAATCTGTGAAGCCACTATGCCATGTCTCATGGGAGAACTTGGTATTTCTATGGTTACTAAATTATCAAACTAGTTTTATTACCAGAAAATAGCAAAAAGTTTAAGGAGAACATGATTTTAGTTCTGAAGCAGAAAAAATATTACTCTGAAGTCCAGCCTTTGCTAATGGTCTATAAAAAAAACCCCAAAGGTAATTTTGCCAATCATCCCACTGAGTGAAGACCACAGTTTCACAGATTATTTTTTTTTATTTATATGAATGGTTTTAACAACTTCCTTTTTGCATTTCCATCAGCTTCAATGATAGTTGAACCTTAAAATTAAATTTCTTAGTGTTGCCACATTTTCACTGCAAAGACTGCAAGCCCAGATTTCATAAACTGTGGATTTCATTTAAATTTAAAAAATAATCTTTGCATTTATCTTAAATTTATAAAAAGATTTTTTTCAAAACTTAAGGCAAAAAACAAGTTTTATTGGTTATGTTTCTTTAAGTCTCAGAAGGTGTACAAGGCTGTTTAAATATCAAAAAAGCTAATGCCATATACAGTATTACCAACAAAAGTGAGGAATAAGGCAGCATGCACCCTTAAGATGAAAAGAAAATTTAATATTACAAGATGTTTAAATAATCCAAAGGCAAAAAGTGTATGTCTCCTCTAAGAGTATCTTCATAAAACATGGAAATTTTAGAGGACATCAAGTTACTAAAATATTCCGTTCAACGTTTATACAAATACATTACTACAATTATAAGTTTACATACAATCAACTGACATCTCAGTGTTAACTAATTAAATTTACAAGACAAACATAAATAAAGCTGTTAAAACAGGCAAGTACAGTACTGATCTATCATTCAGCACAATGTATTTTGTATTTCTTTCACCTCGAAAAGAATCAGATTAGAATTGTGCGAAGTCGTTCTCCAAACCTAGAAATAAAATAGAAGATAATTAAGTATATCTATGCAGGTTTTACACAGCATGGGCATATTCCAAACGCCTAAGTCCTGTTTTCACGCATGTAATTTTACCATTTAACCACTTTTTGTCTGTTCTCAGAAAAGGCCACAGTCTTTAAGGTTATTTTTAATAATAACATCAGTTACAGCATCGAAAACAAACTGCACATTTTTTGTGTCTGTGGCACACGTGAAGTGAGTGTAGATTTCCTTCGTGTCTTTTCTCTTGTTCAGATCTTCAAACTGACATTGAATGTAAGCAGCTGCTTCTTCGTAAGTGTTTGACCCTGGAAGGAGAAAATTCCTCAGTAAGCAGGTTTCAAACTGAGAAAGAGCAAGATGCATATTGTATCTTTGAAGGAAGGGGTTCGTTGCAAATAGTTAACCTAAACCTGAAAAGGAGTAATTCCACAGGCATTGCTTTAAGACATCATAAATAAACCTTGAAGGAAACCTTTTGGACACATTTTTAAGAACAAAAACTAAGGACTCAATTCAGTTCCAGCTGCAGGAAGAGCCTTTCCATTTACTTCAGTGGCAGATGGAGCAAGTCATTAATGACCCATCACTGTTCCCCAGATTAGGACATTTTGTTTCCTTCATTCAAATTACTTGCTTTCAGTTTTTATGTTTTTAAAAGGTCTGAGTTTTTCCCAAACTCAAAGACATTTGGTATACATATTTCTTCTAAGCTTTTTACTTCAAACATGCTATTTTCTGTACAATGGAATAGTCTGAAATTATAATGAAAATGATGCATAAAAAGGCCAAGACTTGTTAAATGAAATCATCTTCTTTTGCTATGTATTACCTGAATAAGCCACCTACTTCTAACATGCATATACACTCCCTGTTCAAATAAACTCTCATGCTTCCTTAGGGATCCCTACTAGTGAAAAAAATTACATCTAAGTACAAAAATAGGAGGCTATCAGAAAAAAGAATGGGCTAAATAAATTAGGCTGAGAAGAGCTGCAGCATAAACATGTGAATGCTATCAGTGAACCAGCATTATTTCACCTGGTTAAGAAGATGAATCTGACTTAGCACTATTTTATTTGTGATCCATAAAAACAAGCCCCCCCATCCTAAACTTTATTTCATTTAAATATTTTAGATACCTACAGTTATTAAACTCCTTCGGATTTGTGCATCGAAAATGAGGTAATTTTACCAAAAATTACTTGCCACCTGCACCCCCCTCCAATACCTGCATATTCAGGGTAGCAAATAGTGAGAGGACTCCTTTTGATTTTTTCTTCAAAAAGATCTTTCTTGTTCAGGAAGAGAATAATAGAAGTGTCTGTGAACCATTTATTGTTGCAGATACTGTCAAACAATTTCATGCTTTCATGCATCCGATTCTGTAATTGGAAAAAAACACCTTGTTGTGTTTTATCGGAATTCTGTAGTAAAATCCGGATATGTATTTTTCATTAGTTACAAATGAACCAGGTAAGTTACAAAACTAAGCTTCTAGCACACAGAATCCCACTTTACCACAGGGAAACAAGAGAGAGGCCAAGACCACTACAAAGACGACTTTCACAAGTAGAGTTTAAGCAACTACTTTTTCATTTTCTTTTCCTCATTTCCAGGTTTAAGCTGTTTAATATTTTAGAACTTTTTGGTGTGTTTTGACATTCTGTAGTACATATATTCTACATGAGTTGCTGAATTACCTGAATTTGTCTTATACTGACTAGATCTTCTGGAAATTGAAAATCAAATTCTGCACCTAGCTGAGGTTCCAGTATAAGGAAAAAAAAATAGTTCTACACAACTAGAGAATCAAGTGAGCAGGGTTTTTTCCTCTTACCGTAATTTTTAACTCTGTAGAAAAATTATCCAACATGTAAGTTCTTTGGCCAAGCTCCAATCATTTAAGTAGCAGGATGCTAGAAAGATTTTTAATTTCCTCCCCAAACTATATTTTGTAAGAAGTTGCAGAACATGAGGAAGACCACAGAAGTCTGATAATGATTTACACACAACAGATAAGCATGACTTTGGACCACTTGGATAGTAAAAAGCATGAACTCTGCATACTGATAATGGGAGGTGTCACACCTTCAAAGGGGAGACAGGAGTGGAGTAGGTTGGAAGGGAGAAGGAAAAGAAAAATTTCTGCAACAAAGGAAAGAGATTAGAGAAACACATTTTGAAAGAAACAAAACCTGAACACTGAGGAAGGAAAGGAAAACAGAACATATGGTAAAGTAGAAACAGTTAAGTCAAGCAATTTCTTATTACATACTTCTACAATTCATAAAGATACTAAAATGTGTATTACTGACAATCTATCGTCATTAATTTATGCATCCTTTAAAACACGAGGCTGAAAAGAATACTCGTCTCATAGTATTCTTTCTGAGAATGAGGAAGTACTGTGAAACCTGAAAGCATGAATTCTATCACAAAACCCATACCTCTTATAAAGCAGTAATCCTCTAAAAGATGTATTTATAGTTTTCCTTTCAAACTTATTTAGTTTTTACCCAACAACTATTCCCTTCTTCAATATTATGGTACTTGCCATTTCCTCATCTTCAGCCAAGACCAAGTCATAATCACTTAAAGCCACACAAAAAATAATTGCTGTAACACCCTCAAAACAATGAATCCACTTCTTCCGCTCTGATCTTTGGCCTCCAACATCAAACATTCTGCAAAACAGAAATGCAAAGCAGGGAATGAACTCTGGGATTTCTAGCTTTCTGAATGTTAATCAATAGAATCTGAAAGTATCAGCTGTGTAAGTCTGACCACCAAATTTAAAAAGAGGCATAAAAATCTGCAACATTTATTAATATTTAATGTTTCAATATAAAAACCAATTTTAATAAAGCTTTAAAAGCCTTCCTAAACAACATTTTATGAAACACGTGAAAGAGAGAGATGAAAGTGAAACAAAACTGATTATTTACAATGCTGTATTTCATTAATTAATTGTAATCTTTAAAAAATAAAAATACACAGAGTTAGCTTTAATAAATGTAAACTAGATGAAAGTGTTATTCAACCTTTAGCCCAAATGAATAAAAAGTCTAAAATAATAAAAGGTACTGATCAACAATATAAGGTTTTTTAAGAGCAGAGTGCTGTCTGTTTTAATACTTGGAAATAATGCAATACTACAGAAGCTGGATACAAGTACACTGACTTCATTGTTGTTGTTTTACTATTCCGAATATAAATACATAAAATCTCATTTTTACTTTCTCAAATTTAATCTGGAATCTCTAAATCCTGGTAAGTTTCAGCTCCTCTCTCGCCTAAACCAAACTGTAACTTGATCTATTTTTCAGCTGTCCATGTTTAACTGGATTCTTTTCAGAGATGCTAAAATTACTTTGAAAATTCTCTTAAAAGACAAAATAAGCATTACATAATATGAATAATCATTTTCCCCTCTAATACATGCATTTTTGGAAATGCAGTTCAGTGTGAAAACTGAGTTATAAAGGTGAGTCCTGTTTCTTTTGAATTCTTAGCTTAGCAGAAATAAAGCAGTAGGAAAAGACCACACTCCAGAATTTAACAGGAAAGGATCCGCAAATTAGCACGACATGAATGGATTTGCTTTTCATGAATGGATTTGCTTTTCTCTGCTATCTAAATGCTTTAATTGGCCTCTAACTATTATGGGCTACAGCCACTCTGAAAGACAGAACTTTCATTACACATCATTAGGAGCTTCAAGTATTTTGCAAGCCAGATAAATAGCATCCTGATAAAATGAACTGTGAATCATGGGGTAGGGGGATGGGACCCAATATCAAAAAAAAATAAAAAGCAGACAAATGGCGGTATCCTGAAATTAAGTGATATATACATCACAGGATCTTCTCAAAGAAAGAGAACACAGAATTTTTCCACCCGTCTCTTTCCTATCATAGAAAAAGAAGTCTGTTACATTCTCAAATTCTTGTGATGACTTATGGCTTCAAAACAATGCAAATACGTCACATATTACTTCCCTTGCTATATTAGTCAATATTCTATCATGCAAAAAATTAATTTTTCCTCCTACTTACAAGTAAATGTAATTAGTCCTTTTAAAAGAGGCCTGACTCTTGTCTTCAGGGATTTTCACAAGTCATTTTAACATTGTCACAAAAAAAGACCTTAGAATTCAGCAAGTATAAAATGTTCAAATGGGAGGAGAAAGAGAGAAGAGAAAGAACAGGCCAGTTCCTACATCTCCATCCTCTTCGCTGTAAATAGTAGAATGGCCAGCTCTATCATGAAAGCCTTATTTGGGTAAAAATATCATACAAACAGGAAGAGAAATCCAGACCAGAACAATTAAGATGTATAGTTATAATTCTTGTAAAGATATTCCAGCATGGCCTAAAATCATTCAGAATTATATTAGTAATAAGGCTATCACATTGAGGGCTTTTGGTAGACAGTAGGGCATGCAGGTTTGAACAACAACAAATCTCATTCTTTATAGGACAGAGCAGAATACAAGACAGAAAATTTAACTGAGAAACTGAACGAGAAAATTTTTTGTGGACACCAGCTTATAAGGAACACGAGAAATTAAATGCTTTATAGTGACCGCAGTACTGTAATATCAATCTGCATGGATCTCACCTAGTTCAACAGTATCATGTCACTGCTCAATGCAAAAATATTACTACTAAGACAGTAACTGAGAGGTATAAGACAACATGGCACAACTTTCCATATTAGCAAAAAACTGTAGTAAAAAAATATTCTTTCAAAGAGCAGCAAAAATATGTAAAGAAAATAGGTCTGCACAAGAGGCATTTTATGATTTTGGCTTATTTAGACTATGTTGCCAGCATGTATCTTGGGAAGGGAGGGAAAAAAGCAGCAGACAACTTCTAGAACATAAAAGAAGTGTAATTTCCAGTTTGTATCCTCAGGTACTGATTTTAGCCAGAAATGTTTGCTTCAGTTCAGAACAGCCTCTCTGCCAGTGGTGTATTTTACCAGTGATGCTTGTCTTTTTTGGGGGTTGTCTTTCTAACAGTGCACCTAACAAACTCCCAGTTCTTTATGCAAACCATCCTTTTGCACGCATCTCTGAAATTTTTATATGCTAAAATCTAGTGCTGGATGAAGTTTTGGAACCACACTTGCACAGTGAACACCTCAACAGCAAGTAATAAGAATCTGATGGATTGTTTTATGTAATGAAGCTTCTTCTCCATACAATATCAGTACAGAGAAATACAGGCATACAGAAAAAAGAAAACTATTTGGCACACAAAATTTAAAAAAAAAAAAAGGCTGCCAGTATCTTTCAGAAAAATTAGCCATTCTGAACAGAGTGGTCTTAAAGTTTATAAGCTTTCCATCTGCCCTGTTAGAAGTGATACTGAGGCCTTTTAGGTCATAGTTTCAAAACTCTGAAACAGTCATAGAAGTTGCTTAATCTGCAGATAAATTTTAAAAAGTTTTGGAAGAATGATTTACAGATTCCATCTTCCAATATAGGAGAGTGTACACAAAGGGTTGTGTGCAAGCTCATCTTTTAAGCACTTGCCTCAGGTGCTAAAATTCATAGTACCGTCCATGGTTTGACTACTCAAAAGAAGCGTATTTTGCTTACGCAAGGTAAGTCAGAGTCTACAATGAACTAGAAAGAAATACAAGGCAGCGCTGAAAGAACTGAGGTTTCTAACAGCTGAATCTACCCCCCCCTATCTAAAGAATGAAGGTATTTGAGAAATGCTTTAATGACTTTCCATTATTTAAAGGGACTTCTCCAATGAGATGACAAGGTGACTATGCCACGTTAAGACAAATTAACTTAACTGAACTAAATGTAAAACATTAAAGACACTTCTCCAGTCACCACTCTACTAAGCTATGTTACTTCGCTATACTAAATGGGTAGCTTTCTGAACGGTTTATCTGTAATTATACACATTTAAGGACTTACGCAAGGTCCTTTCATTAGTACAGTATGTTTTTGAAAGCTAGGGTTGCCAGATTTGATATATTCTGCTTCTTTCAGACTACTGAAGCAAAGAACATGATTCCAGTACCCATACAAAATGTGAGATAGAACAAAAGGACACCGGATATTTATGATGATTGCTTTCACTTCTTTTTTTAAGGTTATACAAGTTCTTCATTCCAGTCCCCAGCCTTGTGAAAGTCTCTGAATGACAAATATTTTTTCTGCGGCAGGGTGACTGTTTACAAAAATATGATCTGTATCTGAGAATTCTCACATATTACACACTTACTAAAATCAACCTGTATTTTTTATTATTAAAATAAACCTTTATTCTTCATTATCCCTTTCCTGTTTTCCCTGGGCTGTAAGACTGCGGGGGCGGCAGGTAGATAAAAAACCCTACTGATTCAATGCTAGTGTACTACATGACTAAATAAATTTCACTTCAAGGGATTCAATTACAATTGTCATTTTTAGAAATCTTCAAGTGTTCTGAGTTGCTAGATTTTTATTTTAAAAACCCCACAGTAAACATAGAGAAGGAAACAAATTAGAAGAAAAACAAAGATCCTTCGCTTTCTGATCAAAAACTGTCAGAAATTTCATAACCTCTAAAGTGGTCTCACACTTAGGTATACTATTGTGCAAGTGACAATGCTCATTGCCCGTTTACATGGAATGGAATAATGCCATCTTAAAAACATTGCAAAGATTACTCATGTTAGCATTTAAAAATGAAAAAAAGATTCCTTAGAAGTACTCCTTACCTTCAGAGATATCTTTTAAAGGGAAGTCTCTGGATATTAACCTACATAAATGCAAGTCAGCCACCTACTCCTGCTTACTTCTCAAATAATTAGTGATGGCTGTACCCATAGCAAGGTATTTCATACTTGTATACCTTAATAATAATACCCTAAATTCTAGTTGTTACTTCTGTCAATTCTAATATTAATGTTTGGTAATTTCACACTAAAACCTGGATTTCCATAAGAATTTGTTAAATTATCAGAACATTTCTACAAAATAAGATGTTCTTTGAAGACAAAAGTAGTAAATAATCAGTTTCAACTTCTGAAATAGTCTATAGAAACAGGATGAAGATGACTTGCTATTTGCATTTTAGATTGAATCAATAATCAAAGCTATGCTAAGCGCTTTACAGAGAAGGCTGAAATGAGGCTCAACCTCAAATAATCTACACACACACACAGCAAAACAGGAAAGAAAAGATAATGAAAAAAATTGAAGTACACAATATTGCACAGCTAGTCATATTTAAGTACCCTCATCTTGGTATAATCAAGCCTTTTATGCCTTTAGTTCATCTTAAAATTTCTTTTCAATGTTATGTAGAAGTATACTTCTTCAAGTCCTTCCAATAACTCACTAAGCCCATCTCCTAAGGTGCCTAAAATTTAAATACCTGCTGTACAGGTGTTCAAATGTACATTACTGCTGAATATTTTCAAAGGCCTGTCTTAAAGGTACATATTTTATAGAAGTGTACTCATTACAATCCCCTGTAATGCACTTTATAGGACTGTCTTCATATGGTCCTTATAACAGTCCTAATAATCAGTACAGATTGGAAGTAGCTATCTGCATACAAACTCATTGAGAGTGTAGAAGAATTTAAATCCATCTGCAATAGGGAACTGAACAAGAAACATTAGAAAGTGAGTGAGAAAACAGATAGCTCCTCAGAATACTAAAGACCTCTCTTGAGGCTTGGCTAAGGACTATTCTCTTTAGGTTTGCAAGAGATTCATTCCCATTTACCAGCTATTATTTTATGGATGAATATGAATTTTGTATACTAAAACCCTAAAACAAGGAAAACAAAATATATTTCCACAGCACTGATGGCCCTGAAGCATCCATATTATAGTACTTGCTATGCATTTACATGAAAAAAAAAAATTCCATGAAGATACTAAACAAATATATTGTATAGACATGCTGACAACAATCTCTGTCCAATCTAAATGCAGACCCAATGCGAGTTTTACTGGGTTTTCTCTCATTCTTCCTGATCAGTAGGAGGTAGAATAATATTATATTTCTAGTATTCTATGCTTTCATCATGAATGTCTTTGGATATAAAACATTCAGAATATTAACAATATTTTGTAAATCCCACACCACAGGAAACATAAGTCACATTCTTTCATCACTAAATAAAGTACTATCTTAAAGTACAATACATATTTGAATTCGGTTCTTCAAGAAAATGAGTTTACTCTTTCATAACACACCAAACATTTATAAGCCTCCAGCTTCTTCAACTGAATTTAAAGGGAAGAATCTCATAGAAGAACAACTATTAACATGTCAGAAAACTGAATATTTTGAGATTTAATTTACATATAAAATATCTTTACAAAAAGGTTCCAAGAAAACCAAAGCATTTATTACTTAATATCTACATATTTATTCTAAGTTATTACAGGAGTTCCAATGACTCCCACATCCCTTCAGAAAATTGAGACAAGCATGACGAATTTTTTGGAGAAAAAAAAAGGAGGGGGGGAGGGAATCAAAGTTGTGGTTAGACAAATTTGTTAAATTACATCACTGAAAGTCCATTTTCTAGAACTTTACAGAAACTGTAACAGACAGATGAACATGCAGCATCATTTACATACTTAAAATGAAGATCTTTGAAAGTAAAGTGAGTTTCCACTATTCCCGTAGTTTTCACTCTAGTCCTGAGAACGTCCTGTTGAGTTGGAATGTAGCTGGTTTGTGCTATCCTGTCCAAGTCATTCAAGTAACTGAAGGTAAAAATAAATACTGCTTTCAGTTATTCATAAAATAGTAACAAGATAATTACAAAGAATTACAGAAGTTCTAGGTCCATTCATTATATTCTGCTTGACTTTTACAAAATAGCTTCCTCTGAGATAAGACAAAAAACAAGACACATTATTCCCCTCAGTTTTCCAAGGTTTTTTGAAATAAGCTTTAGCGGTACAAAGATATTTCATCCTAGAAGAAAGAAAACTTATGCAATTGACTCCACTACAAAGAATTCTTCTTTTGAAATCCCAAAATGCAAACATGGTTCCACATACACTGATGTTATTTGCACTAACTAGAAGAACACCATCTTTGTAACCTACTGAACAAGTTACTTTGAACTATAACCAAAGCCCAAAATTACCCTGGATTTGATAATAAGTATGAAAAGAACAACTCAGTGTTTTGGTCAGAATTAATGTGTTTAAGAAAATGCTTAATACATAACAATTAACTTCCTATTGAGAATTTCTAATTGCACTCATTTTTTACAATAGTACACTTTCAGTGCCAGAATTGTTGTGATGCAGGCCAAGCAGCACAGCTTTTCTAAAAAACATACAAATCTTACTTGTGCTTTTCCCATAGTAAATAGGGAAGGTATGATTTCCTTCTTTCAGTGTAACCGTAACTTATTAAGGATACAACATTATGACAAGAAAAACAGCTTTCTTATGAAATGGGAGGCAGAGGTATCTAAACCAAAATAGAACAGAGGGGATTACCAGGGGAAAGTAAGTGATCCTCCAAATGAAGTGCTCCATATGGAAGAAAGTTTATAAAAGTGCCACCTCTTAAGTCAAGGGATCTGTCATCATGAGCTCAGTTTGTTGCCATCTACCCTCCGTACCCTTAGAACAACTTCAGCAAACAAGTAACAATCATGCTGGAAGTATCAGTGTTATTTCAATACAATTTGATCACATTTCTATTCATTTAGCATGCCTATAATTACATTACTGCAGCTACAGTCTTCTCACAGTTACCTCACCTGCATGCTGTTTATTTATGTACAGTTATTCCAAAGAACAGAAGTACCTTAGTTTGAGGAAAGAAAAAACCCAAAACTTCAAACAACAAATTAATTCAGAATGATAAAGCTTTAAAAATTGCCCTATAAAGCCAGTATCACTGCTATGCCATTCTTTACCACCTTACCTCTCCCTCAATGGACCCTTTTCCTTGACTGACTTACCATTACTTGTTGCCATCACATCTTATTTCTCACACCCTTGACTCCTTACTATTTTATTTTTTTAATGAAGAACCCTAGCATAGAAGACACATCCTGATTGTTCCCTTTGCTCAACACATTTCTAACAGAGACTGTTAATTAACAAAGAAAATGCAGCATGTTGAACCATAGGAGAAACTCCATTATGAATCTGAAGAAGTGGTATCCTTGGTAATACGCATTCACACCACGCAACCAAGTTTCCTGGACATATTCATATACTGAACAGGTACTTGAGTCATGTTTGTATAATAAAAATCCTATTAAAGCACCTTAAAGCAATTTTTGACTTCCTCAAGAGGATGAAACAACTGGTCAGAACATGACTCAAATTCATAATTATACCACACCTCTCCCTTTCCAATCTTGAAGCTTAATTTGAGCTTTTTCACCCAAGTAGACAGTATCTTTGTCCCAATACTTCTACATTTTCCATCTACATGGGAGCAGAATTCCTCAAAAAGATGAGACTTCCCTCATATTCCTTCAGCTACTACTTACAAGACAAAGAGAATCCTGTTTGTCACATAGTACTTACTAAGCAGCAGAGTCATTAAGCTGGTATTCTCTAGATCTGTTGAAACAAGCTTGAACTCCACTGTCTTTCCACAGTCTCTTGATAACTCCAGCAAGCTCTGCAGTCATAAATCCTTCTTCTGCTGCTCCAGCTAACACAAAGAGTTGCCGAGCATCATCCTTTAGGATGTAATCAGAAAGACAAGCATTGAGAAATACAACAGAAGTATGAGTGCCTAAGAATCATATTCAGCAAATGAGTTACTTTCTTAACCTTGTAAATGTGAATGTAACCAAACAAAAAAATGTGAAGGAAAATTCGTTTTAGTGTTCTGCATAGGATATTAATTCCCACATTTTTCAAGAACAGGAAAAGACTAATAAACTAAATTTCTCATTAGCTGATAAAGCTGCTTCTGATCTGTTTATAAATTGAACTAAGCTTCTATAAACAGAAGTAGTAACATATTTTGAGCTCAAGTCTAAAGTTAACCTTATTTGCTTATCAAATACCACAAATTGAATAGAATGGTGACAGTGCACACTAGAACCTTCAGAAATGCAGATGTATATTGACTGACTGATGAAAACACATTAATCACTTAAGCTTTAAAAAACAACTTTCTTTGAAAGTGACAAACAATCATTTCTTCCTAAATCATGCATCAAGAAATAGAAAAATACTTTTTAAAACATTTCCAGATAAATCAGTTACAAATATCCATTACTGTAATTGTTCTACAGACACCAAGTTTTCTTGGTAATGCAGCATCAAGTAAATATCAAGATTTTTAAGAGACTAAATGCTGGATTTCAAGATTCTACATAATGACTGCCATTGAGAGTGAGGCTAACGGAGTACAGAGTGTCAATCTACCAGTCTCCTTTAATAAAATTTGACCAGTTGGCTACCTTCATCCCATTTTGACTGAGGAAAGGCACTGGAAAAAGAAGCTGGCAGTTGTGTAGAGGAAAGGGATCCACATTACTACTCTCCTGTGGGTAGCTGCTTGACCTTGGTTGTTAGCTGTAAGTGATCTAATGCCAAGGTATGTCAGCCAGAAAAATCACCAGACTTGTGGCTTGTAACTACTATGCACAGCATGTACTGTTTGTCCAATAATTAAAAGAACGAGAACAGATGATACTGGAAAGGAGGAAGGAGAAAAGAGAGACTTAGGCACATCAGCTGGGAACTGAAAGTGTTTCAAGAAAGAAGAAAGCAACATATAAGGTTATTCTCGCAAAACAGTAAGTGAAGATACAGATGCAAGTCTGTAGAAAAATTCAATTCTGACACCTTTGCTATTCAAACAACAAGCTGGGGAAAAAACCCCACATTTTCAGGATAAGCACAGAAAGTAGTGATTGTTCTAAGGATACTGTCCACTGTACACTTAAGTAATCAAAGATTATGACAGGTAACAACGAAAGTGTTCACAGATGGATCAAGTAATACAGATATTCACAGCTTGAAAACAAATAGCTTGCAGTTCACTCAAATCAAGGCAATCTTGAAGAGATTTTTATATATATCTATATGTATACACATATAGTTACATATATGAACAACAGGTATCTGATGCATAGTTCTAAAAGTCTTTTGAAAGCTAGAGTAATTACAAATCTAAAAATGAATGCTTGTCAAAAATTAACAGAATACTGATTACTGTACATGCACAGGACGAACTGTGGACAACTAATAAAAATTCAAATAATTTGAATAATTCAACACTAATAATTACATAAAAAAACAGACCAGTAAAGATCAAAGGTTGGTCAGTCAGTTCTCATGGACTGCAGTTTGAGCAATATGCCTGAACAGAAGAAACATCAATGACAATTCTGGTCTTTATTAATGTTTGTGGATGCAAATGCCAAGGACCTACAACTCATAGAAGAAACAGATCCTGAAGAAGAGCCAATATATTAAGACACATGATGGAAACCGCTTAGAAACTGACAGTCAATTTTGTAGTGAATGATTACACCATTTTATAGGTAATATGGTCTGACTTTCAAACATACAAAATTTACTGTTTCAAATAGTTCCAATCTCTACATACTCTGAAATGGCGGGGAGGGGAAAGAGGAGGTGGACCACGAGAAGCAATTTCAGCTTTTCAAAAGCCCAAACTTTAAAATAAAAAGTGGTCTCTGTTACCCCCGTATTCCCATTTCTAAGGATGGCAAGTAGTACAGACACCACAAGAGAGGTAGTATGCACTGATCAAGTTCTGTTTTCATTATTAACCAGTGCTAGATACCTTCCTTTAATTATACTGGAATGAGGCAGCTTCCTCTCTAGGTGTCACTATTTTTCATAGAATCATAAAATGGTTTAGCTGGAAGGGACTTTAAAGACCATCTAGTTCCAACCCCTCTGCCATGGCCAGGGACACCTTCCACTAGATCAGGTTACTCAAAGCCCCATCCAGCCTGAACTTGAACATTCCAGGGATGGGGCATCCACAGCTTCTCTAGGCAACCTGTTCCAGTGCCTCACCACCCTCACAGGGAAGAATTCCTTTCTAATATCTCATCTAAATCTTCCCTCTTCCAGTTCAAAGCTATTGCCCCTTGTCCTATCACTACATACCCTTGAAAAAAGTCCCTCTCCATCTTTCCTGTAGGCCCCTTTCAGGTATTGGAAGGCTACTCTAAGGTCTCCCCAGAGCCTTCTCTAGACTCTCAACCCCAACTCTCTCAGCCTGTCTTCCTAGGAGAGGTGCTGCCCTCTTCGTGGCCTCCTCTGGACTCACTC